CAGGAGGCCAGCTGAGCTTTTTCCTCATCCGTCAATCCCTTTCCTACCTTCGTTGTTTGTCCTGGCGCTCCCACAGTTATCTCCTCTAACTCTCCGTCGGGTTCCGGCCTTGGCATCTGTGTTTCATCTCTCATATCCAATTCCACCATATTGACCAAGCTCCGCTTCGAAGATTGGAAACCACTCTGCTTAGTCGTGGCTACGTCTTTGGGATCTTGGTCCACCATCCGTACAGATCTGAAATAACAATCTCGAGACTCCTTCTGGTCCCCAGCTATGGTAAGCACCGTACCCTGCTTACCAATCATTTTTAACTTTTGATGCTTGGTTGAGACTAGCATGTCCCACGCATGAATTATAGGTCTTCCCAAAATCACATTGTATTCGGATGGAAAGTCGGCTACAATAAACCTCACCCTCTCGGATTTGTATGCCTCCTTAGTCCCCAATGTTAATCGGAGATCAATATAGCCCTTAGGAGTAGTGTTATGGCCATTGAACGCAATTAAAGCCGTGTTGCAAGCCTTCAAATCTTCTTCATCTAAATTCATCTTCTTAAATGCGTGCCATAGAATTATATCGGCACAACTTCCATTGTCCAAGAAAATCTTCCTAACTCTGCAATTGACCAATGTTCCTGTAATCACCAGCCCATCAACATGTCCTGGCACTACATTCTCGAGCTTCTTCTTTGTGAAGTATAACAGCGGCTGCTCTGATTCCTCTTCCTACTTGAACTTGGGGCGCTCTCGAATTGAAAACACCTCACGCAAATATTTACGTCGGGCATTCATGGTGTCGCCACCACCGCCAAAAGCTCCACTGATCACGTTGCACTCGAACTCCGGCTCTTAGAATTCGTCGTCTTCTTTAATCGGCTTCTTACCTCGTCCTTCCTCTTTAAACTTCTTTTCCTTGGGCGGGCTTCCGAGCCGCCCTCCTCTCCTCTTCCTATTTCTCCATCCCTGCGTACGGATCAAATATTGCCGCAACTTCCCCTCTCTAATGTATTTCTTAATTGCATCTCTAAGATCCCAACATTCATCTGTTGTATGACCCGGCCCGTCGTGAAATGCGCAGTACCGGGTTCGATCCAAACCAGCTTGGTTTTGTAAAGGCTGAGGTCGCTCAACTTTCTTCATGTCGGTGAATGCGACCTCACGCCATATTTGCGACCGAGAAGAGTTCAGGGGGGCATATTTATCAAACCTTCCCCTAGCCTGCTGCCTATCATCCTGTCGTTTTCCTCGAAGGTCATTCATTCGTCGGCCCCCGAGCTTTTCTCCCTGACCAGGCTGTTGCCTTTGGTCCACATTTTCCCACTCCATCTGCTCGAGCTCCAGGTATTTTTTGGAGCGTGTGTTGAACTCAACTAAGGTCCAAGGTGGATCCTTATATATTGATTTAGCTAATCGGGATGTTCCGTGTAACCCGGCTATCACCAGGTGTAAATGAACGTTTTCTGGCAACCCGGGTACTTGGAGTGCGGCTAACTTGAATCGATCCAAGTACTTCTGTAGTGTCTCTCCTGGCTGTTGGTTAATTTTTCCCAACGCGAATTCTGACTTCGGCTGCTTCTTACTGGTGGCGAAATTTAGTAAGAACCGCCCACCAAACTCCTCAAAGGATTTGATGGATCTCGCTGGTAATGACGAGAACTACGCCTGGGCTGCACCGGTTAATGTAGTTGCAAAAAGCCTTGTGATCAAGGGTTCCTCTATCCCTTTGATGTACATAGCTGTATCAAAGGCATCCAAATGTACCTGTGGATCCTGTGTTCCGTCATACTTAATCAACTCGGATAAATTCAGATTTTCCGGGTATGGGGCTTCTACGATCTCATTGGCGAAGGGACTGTCATTGTACTGCCCCCTGTTGTATTTTCTTCGGTACACCCCGGTTACGTCATCTGGAGCCCGGGCGATGGGCCCCTGGCGGTGGATCTCGGCAAGGCGCTGTGGGTCTATCGCTCGCCGGGGTTGCTGATTGTGTCTAGCGTTTCCCGGGCCCAGAGGGTTCCGTGGTTGTTGGCGTGAACCCGGGTGCGCTAGGTTTTGTGGGACGAACCCGGGTCCGGCATTAGCCCTTGCAGGACGGTGGGAGTGTTCCTGAGTGTCCTGCTGGGGGTTCCCAGTTTGCAGATCCGTCACCACCTGCGCGATGGCCCGCTCGGGATCTGGGTTTGTTGCGCGCCACAGCCAATCTTCCAAATCTTGGATCTGTCTTGCATCTGCTTGCCGTTGCAGCTCACTACGCTGTTCCAATTCCTCCATCCTTCGAAGTACGGCTGCCATAGCTAAATTCGTCACCCGTGGATCCGGGGCTTCTGCCGTTGGGTCCTCAATTGGTTGCAACCCTGGGAGGTATGGGGCATCTGGGTTGACCGCAGGAGTTTATGCTGAATCTGAATGCACGTCACTAACGTGCACCGCATCTAGATCTGGGATCTGCGGCATCTGCTGCCTTGAATCCGCTGGACCCTCCCTAACAGAAGGAGGAACCTGGAGGTTTGATGCGGTGGATTGACGGAGACCACTCCTCGTTGTTCTCACCATCGATTTTGCTGACTTTCACAACGTTTGCTGTGGAAAGGTTCCCCACAGACGGCGCCAATGTTCTGCCCTAGGCAGATGTGTCCAATTGGGATTGGATGATTGATCTATGATTCAGGTGTCTTCTCTGGATATCTATGAATTAGGTATCTTGAGGACAGCAGATCACACATTATCTAATGGCCTTAGCCTTGGAAGAGGTGTGTGTGTACTGTCTAGATTGTGTAAATAGGTGAAAAAAGATTAGGTCATACCTGTAGCGTTTAGCTCCTATTTATAGTGCTTACCTGTGGGCCTGCGCTGACCGTGGGCCTTACTGATCATGGGCCTAATTCTGGTCCATAACACATTTAGTGTTTTGTTTCTGTCAGTCATAATCGAAGCATTAGATCAATGAAAGTTGTTGTTTGGGGATTAGCCCTGTTCAACTACCCAAAAAATTATTACGGAAAAAAAAAACCAAGAGACCGGTTATGGTAATACAACTCAAATAAAACAATTATGATTAATAACCTACTAATCAAATCAGAAAAAATAAATGACAGAAGAACACCACATTAAACATATAAGAAATGGATATTGGTAAGAAAAAGAAAACGACAATTGAACATGCTCATGCGAATCATGAACTAAGCTATAATAGCATCAAGAAAGCAATAAGATTGACAATGGTGACAAAATCAAAATGAAGAAAATGATTAAATAAGGCTAACAACATGCTAACTAAAAAAAAATAACTTTAAAAGTAAAAAGTAGATTTGTAATAGATGCTAGATAAAATTCGGAAATACCTGACAAAATAATTAAATTGAGACAAAGAAATGAAAAACATAACATCCACTGTAATTTAAAATTTCAATAAAATTAGTATAACAATAGAATGACAAACAACCCTATATAGCTAAGCGAAAGTAACAAAATAAATTATACCAAGGAAAATAGCACGCAAATAGTTAAGTTCGTAAAAGGGGAAAACAAAAAAAAAACTAGGTGCTGAAAGTTCCATAGTAATCTCTACTATCATTAGTAAAATCATAATATAAAAACTTTATAAGTGAAATATGCATCGCGATTTAAGACGAAATCAAAGTGATGTTCTCCTTGTTCTGAAAAATAAAAGGAAGGGAAGATTAATATTGATACTGAAGATTATCGTGAAACAAAGAGAAAAAGTGAAGAAAAGACAAATAGTGGATGAAAATCTTGGCTTCGGCTCATACAAGTGAGAGGGGCCCGAGGAAGACAACTCCAATGCGGTGTCAAACACAACGGCGAACGTCCACAAGCTACTCCACTGGCCAGACAAATCGATTTTGTATCTCAAAGCAAAGGCTTCCTGTTGGAACAAATGGATTATGTTTCAGTCGAGAAACCTTTTCACTGAACATTTTCCTACCAAACAGAGCGAGCGTCCATGTTGTAACATCCCGAGCGCTGACGATTGCGGGGAGTGATCGCCGGTGCAAAGAGGCACGGACAAGGAGCGACTCCTGACAGATTTCCAGTGGGGGGTTACATGCATGAATGAATCCAATGGACACTGGAAAGAATGAGATTCCAAAGACTGTGCAGGTATGAGACTGCACAGTTTGAGATAGCTTATAAGAATTAATTGGTACTACCTATACTAACAAGATGCATCTATTTTTCGGTAGCCCGGAACGAAAGAACTTCATAGTTAAGCGTGCTTGACTTGGAGCAATTCTGGGATGGGTGACCTCCTTGGAAGTTTTCTCGGGAAATATGCGAGTGAGGAAAAAGCACACTGAAAGGTCTCGTGTTAGTATGTGGAGATAGTTATTGATTCTTGAAGCGACCAGACGTTACACACGTCCACGAGCTCGGGCATGATATTGATTAGATTGAAATGGAGGGTAAATTTTTCTAAAATTTCACTTAACATTTTCCTACCAAACAAAGATTCGTAAAATATCACATTTTCGATGGCCATCTAGGTTGACATTTTTATGGGTTATATGAAATCCTGGGAATTAAATTTTTCTAGAATAATTTTATATTTCTTTGTATCAAACATGGGAATATGAGATTGCCACTACCACTTTTCTAAGAAAATAAAATATATCCATATATCAAACACCACCTAATACTAATTAGGGTGATTAAGAGATCTACTCAGAGTAAAGTAATTTTATTAAGTGGTCCACGAGTAAACCACCTCTAAGGTGGTGCACCCTAAAACACGCACCTTCGGAGCATATTGTATGTATTTCCAAAGTGTGAACCTTGTACCAAAAAAGTGTTGCCCCTGGACCACGCTTACAGGAATCTCGCATTCCGAGTCATTTCCTGCGACGCGCGTTTGAATAATCAACTGCACATTTTCTGCACTTCCACAGTGACCCATAAATGGTAGCACTAGCATGTCAGTGTTCATAGTCAAAGTCCAAGAAAGGAAGTAAATTACAAGGGAAAAAAGGAAACAGAAACAACATCATTCTTGTCTGAAAGTCACGCAAGTCTATCGCAGTGGAAGACCTGCAATCTCAGTCAACTCCACTTCCCAACACTTGTTCTTACCCTCCCTCCTTCCACCAAGTTTCCTTCAACCCAAAACACAATCCAATCCCATATCATACCCAAATATTCTCTTGCAGACATTTTCATTGTATCTTTATTATTCTCTTCTTGTTCTTTCATCCATGTTCTCTTCTACCTGAATCCACAATAAAATATATACTCCATCAAACACACACATATCCCGAAATAGACACATAGATAGATACTTGATATCATACAAGGGAAGTATAGTCGCAGTTCAAAACTCACAAGCAGACACTGCTAAGAACATGGGCTGGTATGAATACAACACCACATCTTTCCTTAGTATTTTGCTCTTCTTTTGTTTCTGTCCCATTGTATTGTCTATGCTATCTCCAAACCAAACACACACCATTACCGCTGTCTCCAAGCTTTTTGATGCCCCTGTTCCATGGACTACAAACTCAGACCCGTGTACTTGGAAGGGAGTGACTTGTGACCCTAGCAATTCCTCTGTAATCAAGATTAATCTATCTGGGTTTTCACTCTCTTCTTCTGATTTTCTCCCTGTTCTTTGCCAAATTGAAACTTTGGAGCATCTTGATGTCTCCAAGAACCAGCTGGGCTTAATCCCTGATGATTTCATCACTGAATGTGGAAAGAATAAGGGGTTAAAGCTGCTGAATTTTACTGGAAACAATTTAGGTGCTTTACCTACTTTTCATGGATTTCATGGGCTGGAATCCCTGAATTTGTCTTTCAATCACATGGTAGGGAATATTGGTTTAAAGTTAGATGAGTTGGTTAGCCTCAAGAGTTTGGATCTTAGTTTCAATTTGTTCACTGGGTCTCTTCCTACCAACCTGGGAAAGTCCATGGTTCTGGAGGAGCTTGTCCTTTCTGTCAATCAGTTTCAAGGAGAAATCCCTGATGAAATATTGAGTTATGAAAATTTGACTGAGATTGATCTTAGGTCAAATAATCTTTCAGGGTCTATTCCTAGCAATATTGGAAAGCTAACTAAATTGGAAACTTTGATCCTTTCCTCTAATAAACTTACTGGTCAAATTCCAACAGCACTTATGGACATCACTAACCTTTCAAGATTTGCAGCAAATCAAAACAATTTCACGGGTTCTGTACCTCCTGGGATTACTAAATATCTCAGGATTTTGGATCTTAGTTATAATAATCTGTCCGGGTCCATTCCAGAAGATCTTTTATCTCCACCAAAATTGCAGGTTGTAGATTTGTCCCATAATATGTTAAATGGATCATTACCTGCAAAAGTTTCTCGTAGCTTATTCAGGTTGAGATTTGGAGGCAATTCTCTGAGCGGAATTATTCCTTCAGATAATTTTGCAGCACTTCAAGATTTGATGTACTTGGAGCTGGAAAACAATTACTTGACAGGATCTATACCAGCTGGATTGGGTTCTTGCAGGAAATTGGCATTGTTGAACTTAGCTCAGAACCAGTTGAGTGGTGAATTGCCACCACAGCTTGGTAATCTTATCAACCTACAAGTCTTGAAGCTTCAAATGAACAAGCTTAACGGTACAATCCCATTTCAAATTGCCCAACTACATCAGTTGTCAACACTGAATTTGAGCTGCAATTCTCTGAGTGGATCAATTCCATCTGAGATGTCAAGTTTGAGCAAGCTTAATTTCCTGCACTTGCAACAAAACAATCTCAGTGGTTCCATCCCAACATCGATTGGCAATTTGAAATTGCTTATAGAACTCCAACTTGGGGGAAACCAGCTAAGTGGTGAGATTCCAAGCATGCCATTAAGCCTACAGGCTTCGTTGAATCTTAGCAACAACCTCTTTAGTGGACCTATTCCAAGCAGTTTTGGCATTTTGGACAGCCTGGAAATCTTGGATCTCTCAAATAACAAGTTTTCTGGTGCAATTCCTGATGATCTAACAAAAATTTCAGCCTTGACACAGTTGTTACTTTATAACAATCAATTGTCTGGTGTCATTCCAAAATTTGATCGTTATGTTCATGTTGAATCAGCTGGAAATAAAAATCTGGTAAGTACTCCTACACAGGACAACACAACACCCAACATTGTCCCAAGATATGCAAAGAAAGGAATATCTGTTGCTGTGGCAATTCTCATTGCAATTGTAGCAGCTATTTTTCTTGTTGGACTTGTCTCTGTGCTGGTTGTGTTAGTCTCGCGACACTATTACAGGGTTAATGATGAGCACTTACAGTCAGGCGAAGATCCTCACCTTCCTCAGGTCATTCAAAGTAATTTGTTAACTCCTAATGGAATTCACAGATCAAGCATTGACTTCTCCAAAGCCATGGAAGCTGTTGCTGAAACGTCAAATGTTACTCTGAAAACTAGGTTTTCAACTTATTATAAGGCCGTTATGCCATCGGGATCAATCTATTTTGTCAAGAAGCTGAACTGGACTGACAAGATATTGCCAGTGGGAAGTCATGATAAATTTGGCAAAGAACTAGAAGTCTTGGCAAAATTGAACAATTCAAATGCCATGACTCCTTTGGCCTATGTTTTGTCCACTGACACTGCTTATATACTATATGAATTTGTCTCAAATGGCTCCCTTTTTGATGTTCTTCATGGAAGCATAGGAAACTCTTTAGATTGGGCTAGCAGATATAGTATAGCTGTTGGTGTGGCTCAAGGACTTTCTTTTCTTCATGGATTAGCCTCTAGTCCAATACTACTTCTTGATCTATCAAGCAAAAGTATTTTGCTCAAGTCCCTCAAGGAGCCTCTAGTTGGAGATATTGAACACTACAAGGTGATTGATCCCTCAAGGAGTACAGGGAATTTTTCTGCAGTTGCTGGTTCTGCTGGTTATATTCCTCCAGGTCAAAACTCTTTAACCTTATATTCCAATTAAGTTTCTTAGTTCATAGATTACCTTAATATAATGTATAATGTAAGGGTAACTTTGTATAGTGTTAGGGTAATGTGGATTTCATGAAGTCCTTAAACTATTGTAAATATTTTAAGCAACGTTTTCTCTTTCCCGTATTTACTTAGTATAGTTGTGTGGTATTATTTAAACACTGTTTCTGTTTAATATTGGTTACTTCTTACAAAGACAAAACTGACTAAATTCATCGAAGTACTTGAGCATATGACCTGTAAATTGCATTTAAACATTTTTCATAATGCATGTACTCCCAATGATTTTAGAATTCAATGCGTAGCCAAGCTGTTTTAGTGTTCAAAGATCTTAACTTAATTTTGTTTGTTGGTTGGCAGAGTATGCATACACAATGACAGTAACAATGGCTGGGAATGTCTACAGCTTTGGTGTCATTCTACTTGAATTGCTGACAGGAAAACCTGCAGTGACTGAGGGGACAGAATTGGTCAAGTGGGTTTTGCGTAATTCAACAAATCAAGATTACATTCTTGATTTTAATGTCAGTAGAACATCACAAGCAGTCAGAAACCAGATGCTTGCAATTCTCCAGATTGCTCTTGTTTGTGTTAGTACATCCCCAGAAGCAAGACCAAAGATGAAGAGCGTGCTACGGATGCTCCTTAATGCTAGATGAAGTCATATTGTTAGGGTTAGAATATTCAAAAGAAGGCATGGGGTGTGCGCGCTTTTTCTTTTCTTTTTTTCCTTTTTTGGGTGGTGCATTAAATTAATGAATGTCTTACTCATGGGAATGCATAGATGGTAGACATATAGCTCAAGGTTTGATATTCCCGTTGTAGCATATATTAGAAGAAAAATAGACTCAATTATTATACACAAGAAGACTAAATAAGAGTCATGTTTAAATATAAAATCAGAAAATTTAAATCCTTTAATTCCCAGTGTATGTTTCTGAACAATGCTTTTATTTTTATTTTGTTCATATTGTATTTTTATTTTTATTTTTTTGGAAACCAATCACAGCAAACTAGAAAGCTATTCTATGGGTCCCAACACCCAAGCTATCCTTACAAAGAAAATTACTACACCCCACAGGAGGGGCCAAAATAATTTGAACATTTTTCTCAACTGATAAAGCTTTATGAGCCAACCAGTCAGCTACAGTATTACCTTCCCTTAGAGTATGTTTAAACTGAACTGTCCAGTTCCTCTCAAGAAATGCACGCACAGAATTGCCAATGTGAGCTAGTGGGTGGTTGTTTTGGTCAGCTTGCTCTATGAATTTCAGTACTTGGGTAGAGTCCCCTTCCAAGATGATGTTTCTAAAACCTTGATCCCAAGCGACTTTAAGTCCGACCAGGGCACTTCAAAGTTCAGCTCTAAAGGAGTTACCCTGCCCCAGATTCTTAGTAAAACCTACAATCCAATCACCATTGCAATTTCTTATCACTCCACCACATCCAGATTTGGATTTGTTCGAAGTGCTAGCTCCATCTACATTAATTTTCATCCAACCGTCCAGGGGAGGATTCCACTTTACCACTTGGATTTAAGCAGGGATTTGTTGTAGACTTCCTCTTACTCGCAAGCTTTTAGCAGCAGTGAAGTTATCATATTGTCCAAGAATGCAACTGAGACTTTTTTGAATGTTCGATTTCACCCCATTGAAAATGAAGTCATTCCTTTCTTTCCATATGCACCAACAAGCCATACCAAGGAGAGTAGGCCAGTTTCTGTTACTTGTATTCTCAGCTTTGAGCTACAAATTTCTATTCAACCAATCTTCCAGATAATTCAAACAGAAATAGGGTCATTTAGAAAGGTACACAAGGGCTTTCCACACATCTTGGGACCAAACACAGTCACGAATCGCATGGAGGGAGCTTTCCGTTTGAGCTTGGCAACGCAGGCAGATGTTAGTATCAGCAAAGTGTCTCATGAATCTCTGCTGGTTTGTCATTGAGTTGTTACCTGCAAGAAGCCACAGGAAGGATTTGAGTCTACTAGGGCCATCCTACTTCCAGATATCCTTCCAGTTGACTCTCAATTGATCTTCCTCAATTATCTTAATGGCTTTATAGGCAGAATTCAAAGAAAAGCACCCATCATTTGATTCTTTCCATACAACCTTGTCATCCCCATTACTCGAGTTAGCAGGCATTATGCTATCAATTGCTTTTTTGACATCCAGTGGAACCAGGTTAGCAATTTTTTTCCAGTCCCACACTCCTTCTGTAATAACATACTCAGCAACTTTTCCCTAGATGAGTTGGTCAGGAATTTCTTTAAGGCCACATCTTTGATACAAACAATATTTGGAATCCAATGGTCTAACCAAAATCTAGTATTCTCACCATTTCCAACCAGAATTCGGGAAAAATTTTGAACCTCAGGCCACACTCTCACTACTTCTCTCCAGAGATTGGAACCATTAGTTGGAGTCTTCAGAACAGATATTGGATCCCTACTAATCTGATATTTATTTTCCAGCACTTGGACCCAAAGAGTATCCTTCTTGGTAAGAATTCCAAAACCAATTTTCATCATGAAAGCTTTGTTTGTTTCTCTCATGGATTTGATTCCCAACCCTCTCATCTCCTTCACAGTACAAACCTTGTTCCAATTCACTTTGTGAATACTGTTACTATTATTGCCAGAATTCTATAGGAAATTTCATCACAAGTACCAAGAGGTATCAGATTCATTTGCATAGCATACATAGCGAGAGCTGACAAAACTGATTGAGCAAGAACATTTCTCCCTGTGAAAGAGAGTGATCTTCTCTTCCAAGCTCCCATCTTTCTTTTCACCCTCTCCATAATATGGCTGAAACTACCTTTAGTAACCTTTTTGTGATGCAAGTTAACCCCAAGGTATTTCCCCAAGTCTCCTGTTAGACCAAAACCCAACTCATTGCTTAGATCCCTGGCATGGTTATGATTGCCATTTTTGGAGAATAAAACTCGAGTTTTCTCAGTACTAACACTTTGTCCAGAAGAGTCACAGAAGCACTCTAATACTTGCTTCATGGTTTGAGCTTGCTTTGTAGATGCTTCCCCAAACAAGAGGAGATCATCTGCGAAGAATAAATGGAAAATTGGAGGACCATTCTTCTTTAGCTTCACTGAAACCCACTCTTTTTGATCAATAGCAAGACTAATCATATGAGCCAATCTTTCTATACATAAGACAAATAGGTAGGGAGATATGGGGTCCCCTTGTCTGATTCCTCTGGAAGGTTTGAATTCTCTAGTAGTGGTTCCATTCCACAAAACATTCATAGATGTAGTTGACACACAACTCATGATTAGATCAATGAGGGAATCAGGGAGCTTTATTTCCAGAAGAGTGTCTTTGATAAAATCTCAGCCAAGTTTCTCATATGTTTTTCCCAGGTCCACTTTGATGGCCATCCACCCCTTTTTCCTTTCTTTGATCTCATGGAATGAAAAACTTCTTGGGCAATGATGATGTTATCAGAGCTCTGTCTACCTTTCACAAAACTACATTGATTAGGCATGGTCAAGTGATTCATACGGTATCTTAATCTGTTAGAGATAAGCTTGGTGATGGTTTTGTAAATCACATTGCACAGGCTTATTGGTCTAAGTTGTCTCACAGATTCAAGGCACTCAACTTTGGCAATGAGGCAAAGGAGTGTTTGATTTATGGAAGCCACACTAGCAGGGTTTAGGAAGGCTTTTGTAACCACTTCACAGACTGCTTTTGCCACTTTGTTCCACTGAGTTTGAAAAAATAAAGCATTTAGACCATCAGCTCCTAGTGCCTTAAAGGCACCAAAGTGGAACACACCACCTGTTTTATCTCTTCCACCGAGGGCATCACAGTTAGCATCCTTAGGCTTTGGTTGCGCAGCAAAGGGAAGGTTCCTTTCACAGGGAACCTAGGTTTGTTGTATTCCTCTTCAAGGTATAGTTTCTCAAAGTAGGTTGACAACATATTGCTTAAAAGGCTTGGTTCTCCTATCCACTCATCATTTTAATTCTTCAACGAGTCTATTATGTTCCTTCTTCTTCTAGCAACTGTAGAGGAGTGGAAATTTTTTGAATTTTTGTCTCCAAACATCATCCATTTGCATCTAGATCTTTGGAACCAAAGGATCTCTTCACAGAGGTAAATATCATTTAGCTCTTTCCACAGGGATTTATGTAGATTTTCTAAAACAGGATCATGGAAGCTGTTTATCCTGTTGTCTAAACGTATCATTATGCCACTTCTGGGCCTCCACTTGAAACTTCTCACAGGATGGTCTCCAACTTGTTTCTTCACCCCAGCAGCTGTTTATAACATTCTGGAAGGAGTCACAAGTCAACTAAGAAGCCATAAAGCGAAAAAGGGCGAGTGTTATTATTGCCACGAGAAGGGGACCCATTTAGGAGGATAATGGGCCTATGATCAGAGTTGTAGAAAGGGAGATGATTCAGGAACCTGTTTGGAAATCTCAAGTTCCAGATATCATTACTAATTACCCTATCAAGTCTTTCAAATAATCTTCCCCTCTTCCAAGTAAACTCAGGTCCCTTATAACCAATATCAGATAGTTACAGTCATTTAGACAAGATTGGAATTCTCTCATAGAGTTCCAATTTGGATCAGCACCCCCAGATTTCTCCTCTTCCCATAAGTAGGAATTGAAATCACCCATTGTGATCCATGCATCATTGGTATTTATATTTAGAATCTAGAGGCTTTCCCATAAGGGTTTTCTCTCCATACATCTAGGACTGACGTAAATAAAGGAGAACAACTCTTCCTTCCTTGTCTGCTTCCAAACTAGAGATGTATGTATAAATTGGTGATGCGTAGAGATAACTTGAACATTAACCTCTTCATCATTCCACAGGAGCCAGAGGCCTCCAGAGAAGCCAACCGCTTCTTGGATATAATGATTGCTAAAACCCAACTTTGCAATGCAACGGTTGGCCTTAACCCCACTAATACGAGTTTCCATCAGACAGAGAACTTTGATTTGGAACTTCTTGGTTATGTCTTGAATTAGTGGGGCAAGGCCTTTCTTGCCTGCTCCCCTAACATTCCAGCTGCACACGATCATTAAATAACTAATAAATTTCAAAGAATCAAACCACTCAAAAACCTGAGTCATTGTCTGATCTCTGAGAATACCTTCATACCGCTCTCGGTAAACACACGCATCCAGCTCTTTTCCTTCTGGAGTTTGTGAGAATCTCCTCATTAGCTCCAGAGCGTCGGGAGGTTGAGATTTGGGATTGACATTCTTCTTGTCTTCTCCTTTCGTCTCATTCCCTTTCACCATCCCCATGGCTCCAACAATGTTATCTGCTATGATTTCCAGTTTGCCGTTCTGTTTGGGAACTTTTTTAGCAGACTGGGGTTTTTTCGGGTTCAAACTGATTCTTTGGGCTGGTTTACTAATTACTCTTTCAGGCTTCAACTTAATGGGCCCCTGCTTAATGGGCTTAGGTCCTTTAGGAATAGACTTTTCCTTTGTTTCAGGTCCACGTATGTTACTACTTTTCTTCCTCTCAACAGTGTGGGTCTCACCAAGGTTAGATTCAGCCTTACCACAAGCAACATCAGCTACTTTCTCACAGGTCATGCTACTAGTTGTTGTTCCATCACTGGCTGTCTCAGTATTCTTGTCCATGTTGTCTACCACAGTGTTTGGTGTTTCCGTAGCTCTAGCCTTTCCATCTGCTCCTGTCATAGCTTTCTCAGAGTTCTGATTGAGCTGAGTTGCAACTTCCCACGTTTCTCTAATCACTTCAAATCTTGAGCCACCTGCTACTTTCTCACAGGTCATGCTACTAGTTGTTGTTCCATCACTGGCTGTCTCAGTATTCTTGTCCATGTTGTCTACCACAGTGTTTGGTGTTTCCG